ATTTCTGGAGGTCATTAGAGGTCATTAGAGGTCATTAGAGGTCATTAAAATTCAATTTGATTTTATTTTAGGAATTTCGATCACTAATTAGGCGTGCACCCAAAAAATTGGAAGATTTGAACCAAAAATGAAGGCAGGGCCCCCCCCCCCCTACATCAAATGTGCCAACTCCACCATCCCCTTTAATTATAATGTAAACTTGTAAAGTAAACATCTTTATAAGTATCAGTAGTTTGAAAATAAACTTACTCAGCTAGTAAAATAGGTCAATGTTCACTGGTTTAGTGCACAATTGTTGTGTACTTAACCACGAGTGCACAATTGTTGTGTACTTAACCACGGGTTCCCTCGACCAATTTTTTCTACAAAACATCCAGAGCGCAGCGAGGCAAAATTAGTCTTGAGAAACCTTGGAAAAGTAAGATTCCCTTAACTGCCCTACAAAATAGTTGTGAAAAATTAGAGCCAAGTTATCAGTTTCTTTGTTATCTATATTAAAAAAACAGGGAAATATCTAAAATCTTGAATTAATCAAGGTATATGACTATAATGCACCCTCTGAGACAAAGAATGAAGAAACCGAAGGGTGTTCTCTGTATCATCTGGCTTATCAGTGGTGTAGTTTCCATCCCTGATGTTGTTATGATTCAGTAAGTTTATAAATTCATAAATTTTAATCAATTTTTTTAAAAGATAAATGTCAACGTTTTCAAGCGACCTTGCATTGCAATTTAAGATTGACAAATCCCTTTAGAATGTAAAAATAGTTCGCATTTAAGTGACTAAACTAGATTAGTATATTTACATTATCTTGTAATTATCTTTAAATCTTCAAAAATATGTCCACGTTTAAATTGATAACCGTTCTTGAGTAAATTGGCCAAAAAATAGTTAATAATTTGAAAATAATACAAAAATCAAAGCCAGTGTTAAAAAGTTTATCGCTTTATTAATAAGTAACCCTTCTTTCATGACCCTTCTTTGGATAGGGGATGTCCGATTCACACGGTATTCTTGAAACTTCTATCTGATCAAAAAAAGGAACAGATCAGCGTTTTTCTAGATTGAGAAATAGAGTAAAAATATTCAGTTTTAAAGAGATAAGCATGGAATTTTTCCGGATTCTTGATCAGTTTAATCTGTTTAGGGTACTGTTGAGAATCGGTCATATGAGTCGACAAACGGGGGTCACTTAAAGTTACGACTTATTTATCAGGACACACCGTATAGATTGCAGAATATTGATTGATTGATTTAGGTATACTGAGACGGGACCGGGTCGTTACCAGTGCCACAAACCTAATATCATGCCGGCATTTGATGTGGTAAATGGGTGTTTGTAGACGATGTGTGTAGAGATAGGCACGTTCGGCTTTTTTTCATTTTGTTCGTTCATCGTTCGTTTGTTCAGAAAATAAATTGATTTTGTTCGTTCACCAAGTTATCGTTCATTTTCCATCTATTTCGTTCGTTTTCTCACTGAACGATTGTTTTGTAAATTCGTTAGTTCAGTAAAATCATTCGATTAATAAATTCGTTTGTTCAGTAAAAGAATCATAGTTTTTCGTTCGTTCAGTAAAAAAACGAACAAAATCATTTTTTATTTCTCTGAAAGATTCAAGTCGTACATTCATTGTTCGTTTTCTTCTGAATATTGAATATTATGTAGTAAACAAATTTTTAATTTAGGACTTTTTTGTTCCTTTTCATATTAACTTTACTTTCTTTGTAAAGTAAACATAAATATAGATTTTCTTTTTAATATAGATTTTACATGTTAAACTATTTCATAAAGGTAAAATTTAATTATTCAATTCACCAATATAATTTTGGTTAGTTCGTTTGATCGATATTCGCAGTGAACACTTTTTAAATTAAAGCTTATAGGAATTTAACCTTTCTCACAAAAACTAATTTTTTATCCCTTTTTCTTTGAGACCCAAAGTTGTAGGTTAACATCATCAGGTTGCAAAGATACAGGGATTATAAAATTTGAGTTTATGACAAAGAAGTAATTTATTTGATATGCTGAAACCGCTTAGAAATAGTTTTGAGATCTCTTAAAATGGCCAATTGTAGTTTTTAATAGCTTTTACTTTGGTGGGCTTTCAAAAGTATCCTGAGGCCGAATTTAAAGAATTTGAGCTGCGGCTCAAATATGATTGGTTCCACTTAAAATTGTATTCAGTTTCAAGATTTAAGCCGACGCTCAATTGAAACCAGTATTTGGGGGATTTGAGACGCAAATTAAATTCATTAAATTCGTACACTGGGGGGATTTCCATAATTAAAACAATGCACAAAAGTTGCGGCTTAAAACATAATTTAAATGGATTCAAAAATAAAGTTCCAACCTCTGAAATTAGTGCATGCGTTTGTTTTGCAATATCATAATCTCAAACAAATATATCTCTGAAAAGTGTTAAACCTCACTTGGATTTTCATATTTATCAATCTGATCAAAATATTAAATATACTTGATTAATTAATGTTAAACATGTCTACGACTATCGAAAAGATTCTTTATCTGCATAATGCATCTCTCCATCTGGTCTCTAGAGTGTAGGAGTGGTTCCTTCAATGATTACTTTTTAGTCCAAAGAGTAATTTTTACCAGGGTATCAAACTTTGTACGGATCAATGTTGGTTCCGTAAAGGACAACGGCCTAACGGAACCTCTCATGGAGCTGTTAAGATCATTACAATCTTGGAGTAAACTTTTTTAACCGGTTGTCAGATAAAAAACGTTTATGGATCATAATTCCATATGGAATTGATCCGGGACAATCGTACGTAATTTTTTGTAAATTATTTCGTTCTAAAATTTTTATTTCAGTTAGAAAAGGTTCCACCCTCACATAGATTCCGCCTGCGTATAAAAAGTCTCATCAATAATTAAAACAGGGTCGACTTTAAAGTGTCGCAACGCTTTGATTTTTACTTTCTAATTCAATTTTGCTTTTTTGTAGCCCTTTACATTTATATTTTATCACTATAAAGCACTTGTTGTTAGCTTTGGTTTTTTAAATTGAACCAAACACAGAGTATAAGGTCGAATTTTGAGCAAGAGCATGCACACTTTGGATTAATGTGACATTTAAATTCTAGGTGATGTTGGTGTTTGTTTACATTCTGCCTGTACTGGTAATGTTGTACACCTACAGTATGATGGCGTTGACCATTTGGAGAAAACGAGAAATAGGAGAGGTATGCTACGTTTGGGAGGGCCTCATAATTCCTCAAAAATAATGAAATATTAGAAAAATTTCTTAATCCCTATATCTTTGCAACCCTATATAATTCACACTATGAATTCTATTAGATCTAATAGTATAAAATTGTGATATCAAAGGTTTACAACATCAAGATGCAAAGATTTAAGGATTAGAAAACTTGAGTTTATGGAGTAATTATTGATATGAAGAATATTTTAATGTTATTTTATTTAGTTTTTTTATGGTTTAATTTTGTTTATATCCTGCTGTAAAATGTTCCTGCCATTGAGACGATAAAACGAACATACAAAATTACCAAAAACTATTTACTTCAGCCTTTACCACTTTGTTAAAAACTATTTACTTCAGCCTTTACCACTTTGTTAAAAACTATTTACTTCAACCTTTACCACTGTGTTTACACTTTTCGATAAATGATGAATAGAATTTGACTTTTACAGAGTATTTTCTTATCTCCAGGTTCAATCCAGCCAGCTTGTTACACGGAAAAATCAAATGCTTCGGTCTAAAAAGAAAGTAAGTTTGTCTAAATCTAAAATAAGTAAAATATTTAGATGGGAATTACAGATGTTTTGGGAAGGGAAGACGGTCTTCCGAAGACCGAAAATCAAAAGTTTAATGCAAAACGTTGTCAGCCCAAAGGAGGAACGGAGTTTTTGCTTCAAACCAAAATTTTCTAATCTCTATATCTTTGCAACCTAATGACGTAAATATTTGATATTTCAAATTTGAATAATTTGATCTACAGAGTACACAAAGCATGGTTCGAACTATCAAAGTTAGCATTGTGTTGCAAATAGAATTTTGGTTTGTTGAAAAAACTCAATTCCATTGTAAAAGAAATGTTTTTTAAAAAATTAACTGAACACTTAATACGAACTCTAAATTCATAATCCTTATATCTTTGCATTGTAATGTAGAAGAATTAGAATTTGAATGTTTAACCTATGTGAGCTACTAGATCAAATTGTCAACGTTTTAAATATGAAAGGTTTACATTAAAAGCTTGTAAAGATGGGAAATGGGAAATATTTAAGGAAAGTAAGTATAGGAAGTGTTTAAGGGAAGTTTAAGGGAAGTAAGTATAAGGAGTGTTTAGAGGAAGTAAAGGAAGGGAGTTTAAAGGAAGTAAAGGAGGGGAGTTTAAGAGAAGTAAAGGAGGGAAGTTTAAGGGAAGTAAAGGAGGGGAGTTTAAGGAAAGTAAAGGATGGGGTTTAAGGGAAGTAATGGAGGGAAGTTTAAGGGAAGTAAAGGAGGGGAGTTTAAGAGAAGTAAAGGAGGGGAGTTTAAGGGAAGTAAAGGAGGGGAGTTTAAGGGAAGTAATGGAGGGGAGTTTAAGGGAAGTAAAGGAGGGGAGTTTAAGGGAAGTAAAGGAAGGGAATTTAAAGGAAGTAAAGGAGGGGAGTTTAAGGGAAGTAATGGAGGGAAGTTTAAGGGAAGTAAAGAAGGGGAGTTTAATGGAAGTGAAGGAGGGGAGTTTAAGGGAAGTAAAGAAGGGGAGTTTCAAGGAAGTAAATGAGGGGAGTTTAAGGGAAGTAATGGAGGGGAGTTATTGAGAAAATTTTAATTGGAAAAATGTTCAAGGGAACAAAATGTTTGATTAGTTTCGGTTGAATGATAATTTAAAATTCTGGGAAATAATGTAAATTGAAGAGACAGACAAAACGCATAGTTAAAAAAACAACCATCAAAGAAATTCCATTTTTGATTCTCGTCATTTTTATTTAATTTGATTTCATCAGTACCAGTGAAGGGTCGATAGGTTGATCTAAGGTTGATAATCCCAGTGAAGGGTCGATAGGTTGATCTAAGGATGATAATCCCAATGAAGGGTCGATAGGTTGATCTAAGTTTGATAAGCACAGTGAAGGGTCGATAGTTGATCTAAGGTTGATAATCCCAGTGAGGGGTCGATAGGTTGATCTAAAATTGATAATCCCAGTGAAGGGTCGATAGGTTGATCTAAGGTTGATAATCCCAGTGAAGGGTTGATAGGTTGATCTAAGGTTGATAATCCCAGTGAAGGGTCGATAAGCTGATCTAAGGTTGATAATCCCAGTGACGGGTGGATAGGTTGATCTAAGATTTATAATCCCAGTGAAGAGTCGATAAACTGAAATAAGGTTGATAATCCTAGTGAAGGGTTGATAGCTGCTCGAAAGCTGGTTGATATCCTCTCTTTCCACTACGCTTCCATAGTCGCAAATACAAAAAAATCTTTACTTCAAACCTGGGAACAAACTACAGTTTAGTAAACAAATAAAACAAAATACAAAATGTTGGTATAAATCGTTATGATATTTTAATAAACAAAACTTACTAGTTTTAGGTAGATATGGAAATAATGAGGGGTCGATAGGATCAGGAGAGTAAAACGTTTTGCGACCTCTGAAAAATAAATACTCAGTTGGTTACAAAAATTATTGTTAACAGCGATTAATCACATTTTAATTATTTCTATGTTTAAAACGTGATTTCACTTTTCACGGATTTAGCGTCTACTGACGGATGAGGTTGGGTTTGGTTTCAGCACTGGGAGGGTAGTTTTGCTTTCAAGACGACATCTACTGGAGAAAGGTTTCAAGATAGGATTTATGGTCTACAAGTGTACTGTTTTGCATCTGAAATCTGAAATCTTTAAATTACGTTTACAGTCCTTTTCGTCAAGAAGTATAATTAAAACCTGGATCTATTTTTTTAAATACTTTAGATGGTGAAAATGTTGATAGTAGTGGTGAGTCTGTATACTGTTTAGATGGTGAAAATGTTGATAGTAGTTGTGAGTCTGTATACTGTTTGCTATTTTCCGATAAATATTCTGTGGGTAAGTATGTTTATACTGTAAAGGGCGGATAAACGTCATAAATGCTTTATTGAAGATTACGTAATTTACGTGTTTATTCTTCAGCCTTCAGTGTTACTTGTATTTTTAAATGTTCGATAAAAACCTGAAAGTTTAATTGTTATTTTATAATTGTAAAAAAAACTTTACTTCTGAAACAACTGGTGAAATATTTCAAAAGACAATTACGACTTTACGCTCTTAATTAAAAAGGGTACACCGTAAAAATGTCTCATTTGTATACATATGAATCCTAAAGTTTTTCTCTACAATACTTCACATTCAGCTCAACTACCATGCCAAGTCGGACTCTCCCTTTAAATAGTTTTATCTAAAGAGAATAGAATATATATTAGAGAGGAATTTACTAGAAAAAAGTGTAAAACGGCCATTTTGTTGTACTGTTTCCATACTGCATATGTACTTCACATATTTATACTATATAACCTTTTGGGCCCTGGAATATCATTTTATAGAAAATCTAAAATTAATGTTAAAGGAAAACCAAATTATGAAATAGGCTGGCTTCATAATTGACCAATGATCATTTCACTTTACAAACGCTGATTTTCCGTTATAACTATAAATCAAATGATGTTTTTTATTCACTATAAATATATATATATTATAAAGTTTATTTAACAGCTCAAAAAATTCGAAATTGAAATGAATAGTCTAGGGAACATGCTGTATTAATTTACTCATACTGCATAACATTTGTGAACATGATTTGTACACTTTGAACTCCCTTTCAGGCTGAAAGGGACTGAAAAAATTCATATCGAGAGATTCTCTGAATTCCTCTCTAATATATATTCTATTCTCTATGGTTATATCTGTAGCTTAAACATCAACTTTTTAAATGAGAGGGGTTCGTTACCCCGGACTAACAAGAGTGAACAGCATTTGGTTTCTTCTATTTGAAATCAAACGTGTTTTGGTTAATAATTCGACAATCCAAAACTTACTGATTTTTTTATACCATATACTTTTTCATTCCAAATTTATATGTCTTCAAAAAAGTGTTTAGGAAAAAAGGCTATAAAAAATATGTTTAACGGGTCAAATTGAGTTAAGAAGTCACAGCTTTCTGGAATATTGACGAAACCGTTAAATCCACGTGACGTCTACACTTAACACTCATGTACAATTGCTGTGCTTCATAAATACTATGTATATTTAGCTTGTACTGTCCCAGCTAAATCTGAGCCAGGCCCAGTTTGCGTACATCTTTACTTTGTTCCACTGCTTCGCCCTGTTCCACACCATATTCAACCCAATCATTTACTTCTGGATGAATAGGAAGGTTGGTATATTATTTATGCTGTATGAGTGTGCACAGTATGATACACATTTATTATTGTTTCTAGATCAGACAGCGGTATCTCTTTATATTAGTGTTTCTAGATTAGACTACAGTTTCTCTTTATATTATTGTTTCCAGATCAGACAACGGTTTCTCTTTATATCATTTTTTCTAGATCAGACAACGATTTCTCTTTATATTATTGTTTCTAGATAAGACATCATTTTCTCTTTATAATATTGTTTCTAGATCAGACAACGGTTTCTCTCTATATTAGTGTTTCTAGATTAGACAACGGTTTATCTTTATATTATTGTTTTTGATCAGACAACGGTTTCTCTCTATAATATTGTTTCTAGATTAGACAACGGTTTCTCTTTATATTATTGTTTCTAGATTAGACAACGGTTTCTCTTTATAATATTGTTTCTAGATCAGACAAAGGTTTCTCTTTATATTATTGTTTCTAGATTAGACAACGGTTTCTCTTTATATCATTGTTTCTATATTAGACAACGGTTTCTCTTTATATTATTGTTTCTAGATCAGACAACGGTTTCTCTTTATATTATTGTTTCTAAATTAGACAACGGTTTCTCTTTATATTATTGTTTCTAGATTAGACAACGGTTTCTCTTTATATTATTGTTTCTAGATTAGACAACGGTTTCTCTTTATAATATTGTTTCTAGATCAGACAACGGTTTCTCTCTATCGTAACGTCGATCCCTGTCATTCGAAGATGCTTTGTCAAAATGAACTGGAGCTTCCCTTCAAATAATAGGAGAAGGTTGAAATATTTTATTTTTATTTTTAGTTTAGAATTATCTTGAATGAAATAATATTTGCAGATTAGAATATTTTTGAAAATGTATTTTGTCAAATATGGTCTGAAATATGTGTAATGAATAATTTTTCTATTTTGTAAACCATGTTTCACATTTCTTGAGATAAAGAGTTTCATTAAATCCAATTATAATAGCAAATTCTTCAAAGATTAATGTTTATATTATATTATATATTATTTAATATTATATGTTCGTCCAATTCTTCAAATTCTGTGTAAAAGTGAAATATATGTCTATGATTATTGTAATGATTAATGGGTCCTCTCAAGTACAATCCAGATGTAAATCCTAGGGATTTTGAGATCAATCATTTGCTCCCATGGGTAGGGCCTGCGCAAATATTTCACTCTACGTACTCTATTTCTTATAAATACCTTTTATAGCTCTTTCTCTAGATATCTCTCAGGAGTATAAATGAATAGGTTTTATCAGCTACATAGCTTTATTTGTTAAGTACATCTGTATACGTTTACTCTTGTTTAATCAGTTCCTTTGATATTCTGAAAGGCAATCATTCAGCTACTCTTCAATGTCTCATTCAGCTACTCTTCAATGTCTCATTCAGCTACTCTTCAATGTCTCATCCAGCTACTCTTCAATGTCTCATTCAGCTACTCTTCAATGTCTCATCCAGCTACTCTTCATTGTCTCATCCAGCTACTCTTCAATGTCTCATTCAGCTACTCTTCAATGTAACCGTAGCTGCTACTGTATTTGTTCCAGAGTCTCCGCTAATTTATCTGCTCCTACAATCTGAGATGTTTCCAATGCATTCCTAGCTGCTTCCTTTGCTGGACTGGCAACTGGTCTGTAAAGAACTGCAAGGAGCATCGTCTCTTGCATCAAAATCTCTTGTTCATCAACTGCTTCTACAATAGATCTGCGAAGAGCTGACTGAAAAGAGCAGCGTCTCCTGTCTCAAGATTATCTTGCTTCTCAACTGCTTCTACAATAGATCTGTAAAGAGCTGACTGAAAAGAGCAGCGTCTCCTGTCTCAAGATTATCTTGCTTCTCAACTGCTTCTACAACAGATCTGTGAAGAGCTGTCTGTAAAGAGCAGCGTCTCCTGTCTCAAGATTGTCATTCTCTTTAGCTGCTTCTACAACAGCTCAGAATAGCTGTCTCAAAAGAGCAGCGTTTCCTGTCTCAATATCCTCTGGTTCTGCTGCTGGTTCCACAACAGGTCTGTGAAGAACTGCTCCCCAATCAGCGGTTTCTCTGTTCTCAGGATCCTCTGGAGAGTATAAAGCAGCCTCTGATGTACTGGCTGGGTAATCTAGTTCTCCTCTTTAGGAAAACTCTAGCTGCTCCAAATCTCCAGCTGCTCTGTTCATAGAGCCGGCTGGAGAATATATCTTAGTCTGTAGTTGGACTGGCTGGTCTGTAGTTGGACTTGTTTGCCCTGGATATCCTAGTTATCCTGAATGTCCTATAAGTCCTAGTTCTCATGTGTGTCCTGGATATCATAGTTCTCCTATGTGTCCTGGAAGTCCTAGTTCCTATTTTTCCTGGATATCTATAGTTCTCCTATGTGTCCTGGAAGTCCTAGTTCTCTTATGTGTCCTGCAGCTATATCTACAACGGATTTGTGATTTGCTGTCTGTAAAGAGCAGTGTCTCCAATGTCAGGTTTAGCTTCTCTTCTTGGAGTCCTAGGTCTGACTGAATCTTCTAGCTGCTCCAGATATGTAAAGAGCTGTCTGTCAAGAGCAGCGTCTCCAATATCAAGATGGGGCATCATCTGGCATACTGGGTATTTTAGTTTTCCGCTGTATCCATGTGGGTAGTTAAGACGGGCTGGTATTAGAGCAATTGGCTGCTCCAGATATGTGAAGAGCTGTCTGTCGAAAGCAGCGTCTCCAATATCAGAATGGGGCAGCATCTGTTTGTTCAGTTATTTTAAAATAACCAACAACATTTTGAAATTTCGAATATTTTGTTCAAATTCCGAATAGAATGTAAACTGTAAAGGAAATTGATTTTTTTTCGAACAACATTTCAAAATGCTTTCGATAGTTCGTTATTCCGAACATAATTTAAGTAGTTTCTTCCAAAACGTTATCACATTTTTTATTTTTTATAATCTAATTCAAATTGTAAAAACCAGTCTTGCCTCGTCTTTATAGGCTTAAGTTAAAATTTTAAACTACACAGCTTGAACTAATCAGCCCGGGATCGAATTTAATGAATTTTAGCCACGTCGCTGAACTACCTACTACCCGTTTAAAGCAATTTAGTCTTTGCCACAAACTCAAATTTTCTAATACATTTATATATGAATCCTGTGTCCGAATCTAATGACTTTAAGCTGCATCGCAAATTCCCAAAAACCCGGTTTCAAACGAGCGCCGGCTTAAATCTTGAAAAATAGATACAATTTTAAGCGGAACCTTAACCATATTTGAGCCGCGGCTCAAATTCTTTAAATTCGGCCTCTGATGGTTTACACATTAAATATTTCCTACTTAGATCATTTTATCTAATAGAATTAATGTATCTAAGGTTTACAACATTGGATTAAAAAGAAAATCAGAGTTCGTGGTAAAGACGCATGTTCCTTTTAAATCACAATTTAAAGTTAAACATTAAGAAAGGATTTAAATCAGTGATTCAAATTTGAACCGGTGGTAGGCAGTTAAAAATTCATAAAAATTTGGTTGAACTAATTTGCACCTTTTAAAAAGGATTTCTTTGAAAGGAAATGCACACCTTGTCAGAAACTAGAGTGTGTGGCGTGAAACGAACTCATATTTGCTGATGAATCTATTGCAACCTAATCGTTTAAACATGCCTTTGATTGTTCAAACTTGTACTATTGAAATAACAAAATTCCTAGTATGAAATATTAACGGTCCAAGACATCAGTAAAAAATGTATAGGGATCCAACTTGTACGACGTTTTGCAAAATAAATATTAAATGTTCTTCTAGAGTTCTCAGCCATGTAATTTGTTTTTCAAAGCTTTCTATATCCATCCCGGTTGTCTTCGCCTAAAGGACTTTATTCTTTAAACATTTTATTTTTATGTAATCTACCTTTTCCCGGAGGTTGTTTAGATCCGTTGTCACAGCACTGGAATGTGTTGAATACGAATCCGAGAAAGAGGACACTTGGGAAGATCTAAACATAAAAATGCAGGCCTAAAACTTTCCAAATACAAAGCAGACACATTTGATATGATCCAAAATGTATTAGAGGAGAATATTATGGCCAGGGCAACAGTCTATAACATATAAGTATGTTAAAGGAAATGTCTGAGCAGGAAAAATCAACAAAAACCCCACAAACAGTCCACAAAATTTAACGTTACTCAGATCAAGTACGTGAGGCTTCTTAGTAAATGACTTTTGATGAGTTTGGCATCTGAAATGGTGCTGCATACAAAGTTGTAAAGCAAAATTTAAAAAATTACAAAGATTTGGACAACATTTGCTCAAAAAAGGTCCTGCAAAAAGATATTAATTGGTTTGATGAAACGTAGATTACAACTTTAAAAACCCTCAAGAACCCTTTCTACAATATAGGCTAACCCTCCTTTGACTTTATAAGATTACCTCAAGAACATGCATGAATGGATTAAGTTGAGTCTATAGATAAAATAATTAGGCTCTGACAAGCTAATTGCGCCCAACATATTATCTGATCGACATTAGCTGGTCAGAAAATTGAGCCGGCTGAAATACACTGAACTTTAAAAATAAAACATGGCTGAGACGTCTAGAAGTACCTTAATAATTATTTTTGCAAAACCTATTGAACATACCTCGTAATCTTTATAAGATCTGTATTTGTCACTAAAGAGACTAAAGGATGAAAACAATATGTTCATGTTTTACTTTTAAAGAAAAAACTAAAGGGAGTGACCGGCAATGTATAGTAGTTGAACTGAGAGTAGTATTGTGGAGAAATTTGTTAGGAATGATTTGAGACCTATGAGACGTTTTTACTGTTCAGCAAGAGCTCAAATTCAATCATTCCTCAAAAATGAACAATCTATGAGGTATTTAAAGATTGAATATAGGAACTATAACGAGGTCATAAAGTTGTACCAGTAATGTCTCATACATCCTTCTTCTGTCTTGTTTGCAGTGGAGTGCAAGAATGTAATGCAAGGAAAGTTAATAGCGGTCGCGTATACTCTGCATACATATTAAACCAGTTCTCTTTGGGCGGAATTTGTAAACAAGAATAGATGCATCAGTGTTCGTTTAGTATCCGAGGAGGTTAAAAGCATTAAAATTTGATGATTTTGATAACTGACATAATAGTTTCCTATGACTAGAATATTTCATTGATCACTTCTGAAATAACTTTCCTTGCATTGCATCCTTGGTAGAGTGCAGGTTTTTTTTTAAACATGTAAAAGTA